TAATAAAATGGGATTAGATACATTTGTGTTAACATTTAATTATTGCAGGTTTGAGTCATATTCTGAGTTTGCATTTCACTGTTTTAATTCATTTTGATGAATACTAAATCTGTTTTTTTTTGCGAGTGGGATGAATTATTGCACATGTAGTCTAGAACTAAAGTAACATCATGTTCAAACATCATGTAAATGGGAAAACAAAGTAACTGGCGTTTCTTTTTTGAAAAAGTAACTCAGATGTTTTCTTGTAAATTAAAAAGTAATGCGTTACTTTACTAGTTACTTGGAAAAAAGTAATCTGATTACGTAACTCGCGTTACTTGTAATGCGTTACACCCCCAACACTGATTATAACACCAACCTAATAATAATAAAGTATATTGTGTGCGTTTTAAGTTTCACAGCCGCTTGTAGATTCTCACGCTGTTCTCGTTGGCTATAGCTTATATTTTTATATATATTTTCCAATGCACGAAAGCCGCGTGTGTCAGAAGAGCCTTATTCTCACTCTATAAATTCGCGTGGAACATGCGTTTCGATGCCAATAAAAGCTACCACATCAAGTAAAACATCGCAGATCAAAAGGACCAAACTATGGGCATTTTTTTTTTCAATAAATGAAAAGGACAGAAATCAGTGTGACTGGATCACGCCCGTTGCACTGCCCTCCACAGCGATTGGTTCACGGGGAAGAGAGCAGGGTTAAACCCCAGAGCGGTTAAATACAGAGGTATTGAACAGCACACCACAATCCGGTTAGGAGTTTTCATGTCGGTGGGGGACTAGACTAGTGACTAGACTATTAATAAGAAGAAAAAGGACCTTAAAGGACTTTGCACTGAGAAAGCTCACCTGTTCATCTCACTTTTAACTAAGTTTTGCTTTTGAATTTTGTGTAACCGGCTCTGCAGATTCTCAGCAGCGTCTCAGGGTTGTGCGGAAAGCGTGATGAAGTGCAGGCGGCCGCAGAGGAGCGTGAGGGTGATGGGTGTCATTCACTGGGCTGTGATGCTGGGGTTGATTCAGTCCGGCGCGCTCGGCGCGAGGAGATTCCGCGGAGGTCGAAACCCGCAGCAGCGACGAGCGCTTCCCACCGCTCACTACCGGGACCGTGCCGAAACCACCGAGAGCTTCTCACTGGACTTCACAGCTGTTGAAGAAAACATGGACAATTTCATGACTCAGGTGAAGAACTTGGCGCAGTCCCTCTACCCGTGCTCGGCCCAGAAGCTCGACTACGACATGAAGTTACATTTCCTGGAGAATACATCAGTCTCCTGCAACGACGGGACCCCTGCGGGGTAAGACAACAAGCCGGTTACAGTCACAAATCTTAGGTAACCCAATGGGCTTCCAACAGTATCTGGGCATCATCCAGACGCGCTCAGATTCACACTCAGTCCTTATTGTTTCTAGCCTCAGTGTTGGGGGTAACTCATTACAAGTAACGCGAGTTACGTTTTACTTTTTTATGGAGTAACGCAATATTGTAATGCATTACTTTTAAAAGTAACTTTCCCCAACACTGTACTAGCCTACAATGAAAATGGTAACTTGAGCCATTACTGTGGTGATCTATTAACTTAGCTCAATTATGATTCTACTAACAGTACTTATGGTATTTCAAACTATTATGGTTACCACTGTTTTTTTTTTTGTTTTTGTTTTGTTGTTTTAACCATACACTCAAAAAAAAAAAAAAATGA